TCTCACAGTAGCAACACACAATTTGGGGTAAGAATAAGCACATTATTTCTTAGACTCTCAAGGAATATCTGTTGGTAGAATTCTTGGAGTTATAAGAATTAAGAAAATTATGTGTGTGTGTGTGTGTGTGCGCGCGCATCCGTGTGTAAATATATATGAGAGAATGGAATCGAAAGGCAAATGTGGAAGACATTTAATCATGCAATATTTGAAAGAATCCAAGCCACTATCCAGCTTGGTATGTTCCTGGGGATAAAAGTTCGAAGACAATTAGCAGTGCCAAACATCAGGAAGTTCAGTTTCTTTATCTATAAGTCTAAGCCTCTATTCTATGATGTAGACTTGGCCTAGATATTTTTGGCTGAGGCTAATTGCTGACTTTATTTCCTGACTTGCAAGATTCCTCCCCCCTGAAGTGGAAAGCTACACCCAACAAATTAAAACAAACAAAGAGCCCCCTAATGAATTAAAGCACATGAAAAAACATGGATAGGGACAAATGTTATTGGAACATGGAATGCACAAATTTCCACTGAAGTCCATCCATTAGAATCCCCTGCTCAATGAAGGAAATCCAGACCTAGAGCACCCTGAAGCTGCTGGCCATCCTTTCGTTGGAATCTTCCAGTTGGGAGTGCTTCATCCCGTTAAGTCACTGGTAGCATTGACCAGTTGCTCTTACCATCAATATATTTCCATTTATGATCAAGAAAAATGTACCCTCCTGTAAGTAAAACCCACTTGAGTTTGTTCTGCCCTCTGGAACAACAGAAAACAAGATTGTTTCCTCATGGAGGGTTCCTTCTGCTAATTATCGGAAGGCATTGTGTAACTGTGCGATCATTTTTTCCTTGACAAAGTTTCTGTGTTGAGGGAAAAGATGGAAGAAGTGGTTAGACAACACGGGAGGTTCATTGGTAAAAAGGAATGTTGTCTGCCCCCCCGCAAAAAAAAAGCAGGATGAGGCGGGATGGTGACCCCATAAAAACCAAGCAGTCCAAATCTTGGCTTTCTTTTGTATGAAAGCCCTTTATCCTAGCATATGCTGTTCTGCAAATATGCCTTGATTTTATTTTGTTTCAGAGTAATAGAATCAACAGCAAACTACATTCCATGCTAATTGGTTAGGACTGGGACCTCAGTACTGTGGGAGGGGAAAATTCAATCTTCCCTTCACAAGCACTATGGGGGCATAATTTAACCCTCCTCTCCTGTAGCACATTGCATGTTTGCAATAATTAAATGGAAAACCTTAATGAATTAATGGCAAATTTCCCTTCAATCACTTTGAGCAGTTTGTGGTGATTCCAAGGATCCCAATACCTGTATCCCAATAGAGCTCCTTCACAATCGTATGTCTATTGCTTGTTGTCTTCTGAGTCGGATAGTCCCCATCTGAGGACTCACAGTCACACTTGTGTCCTACTTCCATTGAGATCACTTGAATTTGAGTTAACATCAAGTGATATGCAATCTCTGTCATGATTTATCTGTACTGATTGTATATGTAGATGTGAGAATGAGATTGAACTGAGCTAGCCAAACTTCTGCACAACTAATTTAGCAATGCAGTGTCTCATCTCACAAAAAGCCTCAGATAACTCAAAGACTGGGGTGGTGGTGGGGAACTTACCCCTGAGATTTTTGAAATTCTTAAAGCAGGTAACTCTCTAGATGTGTCATTGTAAGTTCTTATCACTTCCAACACTCCCTCTCCATCAAAGGAACTTAGAGCCTTCTTTCCACCTAAGGTTGTAACATGTCAGCTTGCTTCTGTCAGACGGTTTTCTCCATCTGTAAAGAGTCACCCTGATCCACTTCCCTTTGATTCATACACAGACATTTGGCCTGAGTCAGTCGTTACAAACAATGCTAAAAATATTCCCATAGAACCTGGCCACTTCTCTCTTGCCCCTGAAGCCACAGAACCATTGTGTAACTTTTTGCACAGTCATGAGGGTTGAAACAGATAGTTTTGCTAGGTACAGAGATGTGCCTATATTTCAATATATGACACTGCTTTACTTACTGTGGCAGCAAAAAAGATCAGGAAGGGAGAATTAGGCAAAGTTGCTATATAATGCATTGGAGATTCAGAATTAAAGATGAATTTCTGTTCATAGTATATTCTAATTTGTTTATATTTTATATTGTTGAAATTCTTCATTTTGTTGTCTATGCACATTCATTTGATGTATTTGTCATGGCTTTTGGCTAGTACAATAAACTTCAAACTAACTACTACTACATATTCAAATATATTCCCCATCCAGCCCATCATATCCTCTCTGTTCCCATTGTTGCTTTCACCCGACATGTGATCCGGATCAAGATGTGATCTGTGCTTAGACAGATAGTGGCTGAGCATACACAGTCCTTTGGAAAATCAAGGTTTGGCCTTAACACATGGCTTGTGTTTTGCTTCCTGCAAGACAGCCAGCAGTATAATCAGCGCATGCATTTAAAATAACAAAAGATGCCAAGGAGACTGACTCATTGTTTCCCATTTAATTAGAATGAAGCAGGATGTGGGGCTCAAAATACATATAAAGCCTTGCCTTCCCTATATCTTGTCACCAGATTTCCAGTCTCCTAAGCATCTTCTTCAACAGCAACCCAATAACTTTTTGTCAGTGCTGCTCTGCCGTGCATGCACAAGGACATGTGTCTGATGAGCTACACATGGCCATGCCAAGAATACCAGTCTTCACCTTATCCAGAAATGGAAATTGGCTACCAATCTCTTTAACATCAAAATGTCTTTCATTTGTTTAGTCAGTTAGGGTCTTGATGCTAGAATTCCCACCCTCTATGCACAGAAGCCTCCAAACGTAGAAGCTTGCATGCATCCCGTGCCCCATTGGAGGTGCACTTTTAGCCATCTAGATTAAGCACCAGGATGGGCCAGGACTGCCAATAGCAATCAGCATACGGAGATGGCCCCAAGCACCTTTCCCTGCCCCCTGGATGCCCCCTGCTCTCTGCCCCAAGGTTCATTTTCAGCCTTGGGAGATGCACTCAGCCCAGTTCTTTCTGTGCCAGCTAGAAGAGGGAGGGATATGGACTTAGCCTTCACAATCCTATATTATTTTCAGCACCAGGTTAAAACCTTTTTATTCAAACATCATTTTAAAACTGCCAGGTTGCTGACGGGAAATGGGCATTATTCTCATATAACCCCAGTCCTCTACCAGCTTCACTGGCTCCCCATCGAAGCCCGGGCCCAATTCAAGGTGCTGGTTATCACCTATAAAGCCCTTAACAGCTTGGGACCTGGATATCTAAAGAAACGCCTGTGTCCATATTTGCCCTCCCGCCCCTTGAGATCAGCGGCAGAGGCCCTCATCCAGGAACCCTCCGTGAAAGATATTAGGAGGGTGAGTACCCGGAGGAGGACCTTCTCTGCAGTTGCATCCCACTTATGGAATGCGCTCCCCAGAGAGGTCCGCCTGGCGCTGTCGTTATCTGTTTTTCGGCGCCAGGCCAAGACCTTTTTATTTAAATGATATTTTAATAATTATTATTTATTGGTTTTAAAATCTTTTAGCCAGGATGAATCCAGATTTTATATGTTCTTGTCTATATAATCTGTTTATTTATGATGTTGGAAGCCGTCCCGAGGCTTATGCAAAGGGGACGGCATTCAAAAATTCCAAATAAATAAATAAATAATAAAACTTAGTAATTTTAATAGTTTAACAGTCACCTTGATTTATTTTATTGGTTATATACTATTTTATTGTATTGTTTTATTGATTGGTTTTATTGATTATTGGTTTTAATGCTGTAAGGCATTCTGAGACAACTGTTGTAAAGGACAGCATATACATGTTTTAAATAAACAAAAAAATAAAAAATCCTAGCTTCAGGAGCATAGGATCTCAGAGCTGGGTCTCTAAATAATCCTATGGCCTCCTATGTCAGGAATCCATAGTATTATGCCTTTAATTACATGTTTATAGCTCACCTTTTCAAGCAGGGCAAATCTGACAAGGCTGCTTCCAAATAATCATCCTTCAAAAATATAACAACTAAATCCACAATAAAATCAGAGCAGTAAAAAGATTTAAAGAAACTGAGACCACCTAGTGAATGGAACACGTCCAGTCAGCATACACAGAAATGAATTATAAAAAGACTACCAGAAAGCAGTGAGATTGCTCAAGAAGTTCTGTCAGGAACAGATGTTCAAAGACTTGGAACTTCTTGGTCCTAGTAGTTGAAGAAAGCTGCACTGGATCCAATCAAAGCCCCTGTGCAGATCAATGCAGTAGCACCCTGGTATCTGTGTCACCAGCCTCTGATAGTGGAGCTGATAAATCAACATCATGGTGAGTACCCATTGATAGCTGGCTGCATGAATACCTGCTCTGCTCTGGTTTAAAACAGGGGTGTGAAACATCTTCCAGACAAGGGGCAGATCCCATCTCAAAGTAGCTCTCAGTGGGTACATTCCAGTGATGTGCAGGCCTGAAGGCAACTGAGTGGGACCAAAAAGATACCCCCCATAATCCTATGGCCTCCCAGATTGTATTGGGAGGGCATAGGATTGCATTTTTAGTATTGTACAATGAGCCTAATTTGTTAGGCTCTTCATCACATACATTTGAAGAGGTAAATCAAATGTAATAACAACTTTATTCAACTTTAGCTGAAACATGAACAGAAAATGTGTGTGAGTGCAAGTGTTGCATACACACACGTCCATTTTGTTTTATTTATTTTCAAATTCATATGCCTCTGAATAGCCCAGCAGAGCTCTCGTTCTTTATATTTCTCAAATGTACTTTCAAAGCATAAACCTAATCCTCTTCTAAAGAAAGGTCTGCTCACTTTGAAACCTTTCCTGACCTCTGAGGCTGAAGACGAACAAAATAAAGTCCTAACGAAAACACAAATGCCTGCCAAAGAAAAGGAGTTCCTGTTAAAGGGCTGAAACAATAAATCTGCTCCATGCTATATTCCCTGAGGGAGTCTGTCGTTTTTCCTTCCGTTCTTTATCAAGGTCCCCAAAATAAGCCAGAATAGGCAGTGACTGTTCACAGTCTTTCCTTGCACACCTTTCCCTCTGGCTAATTAGGGTCCCATCTCAAACGTGGAAAAGCTTGGTGCCTGCTGCTGTATTCGAAAAGGGATTCCTGCGGGACAGAGAATAATGGCCATGAAGCTGTTTGGAACTGCCCTCCTCTTTTTGGCTTTGTTCAGACTCCGCTGTGCTGGTGGTAAGAGCACATTTCTCTTTTGGCTTTTTAAATCAACCTCTCTGAGCAGTGGGAATTTCTGACTAGTAAAGTCTATTAGGTTACCGGTGCTTCCTCACAGCTCTTCATTGCAACATTCATGGGACTCAGTAACTGCAAATCTAAAGGAAAAGGAGAAGCAGGATTATCTCCTTCTAAATGGACTGAGGTGTCCATTTAGGTATTCACAGGGAAAAAATATATATTGCAGCTAAATTCTTTTGGAGAGCTAGGAACTAGGAAGCCTGATGTTTGAGGGTGGACATGATGATGATGATGATGATGATGATGATATTATTAATAATGTTATTATTAAAAATAACAACAGTAGAATAAGGACCCCAATGGTCCATTTTAGCATAATTTCCCATCAATGTTAGTTTCCTAAATGTTAGTCTTCCTTAGAAATTAACCAATATCATTCGGATTATAGCGTATTACAAAAAGGGATAAGGCGGCATATAACAAAAAAGGACAAGGCTTGCTTATTACAGAACAAGGCCCGCTAAAGACAATGGGAGGTACAACTGAGTAAACACATGTAGCATTACACTGCACTGATCCTAAACATGCATACTCAGAAGTAAGTCCCATTGAGGACAAAGAGACTTACTTCCAGAGAGGTATGTGCAGGCTCAGACTGATATATAAGAAACTACAAAGCAGAGATTTGCTTTGATTATATTACATAAAGCAAGAGAAAAGAGAGTGAGAGGAATACGGAATGCACTATCATTTTCTGAGTTTAATTTTAATTTTGATGGGCAGCAACAGGGTGGGGAGAGAATGTGGAAAACAAAACTACAAAGCGACAACTTCTGGATAAGCATATGACACTTCAGCCTCTGAAAAATAATGTGAGAAAAGGATTATAGACAAACTCCTCTGGTGTAGTTAGTACAGCTAAAGGAAAGACTTTTCCTTTTGTTGCATTTACTCTGAATTCCAATAACTAGATGATGTACAAAGTAGACGCACTCTTTTAAGTCTGCAGAACTATTTGGTTTTCAGCAAATTAAAGATAATCATCTAAAATGATAGCTAAAAGACAACTGGAGCTGTGTCCTGTGTTTCATTGTATTTGAAATAACCCACAGGAAATGAGGAAGTTTTGATTCTGTGTATAGTTTGGCTGTTTAAAAATGTATAATTGTGACATACTAAGTAACAGAATGGCTGCTTACCAGCAGAATGCTGCTTGTCAAAGGATTATGTAATCATAACTGTTTCCCTTGAGTTGTCCATTAGAAATTAAAGAAAACAATTGGTGTAACATGAGCTATATTATTCACCTGACACATTGTTGTTCAAACTGTAGAGAAGGTTGGCCTTGATATCTTGCTATCAGTGCTGAGCTTTGGGAATCCTTGCAGAAACCCCATTGCTCCTCTCTGACAACTTATACATTTAATTACTACACCTCTATTTTTTTTTCATTGTGGAACTGAAGGTTGCTACCTGTTGCTTCCATGTGGTCTCTCCTCCAAGAACAAACCAGAGCCAGTCTTGCTTAGCTTCGGCAAGGTGACAAGCTCATGTGCTTTCAGGTCATGCTATGGGACACTCAGCCTTGTTGCAATTGTTCAACTCTGAATTACCTGTATGGCTTTTAAAAAGCAAAAATACGCAGGGATCAAGAAGGGCAAACTCAGCTCGGCTTCCTGGCTATCAGAAAGCAGCACTGTAAAAGGATGGAAATTTTTAATGCAGGGGTGTTAAATCTCAGACCAGTGGGCCAAATTCACTCACCTGGCATTCCAGTTTGGCCTGCACGGTTCCCCAGAAGGCAATGGCTCCTTCCCAGGACTCAATGCCTTTCATCCTGACTGCCAATTGTTTTTAGTTTCCTGGATTTTGTGGGGTTTTGCTTTCCTGTTCAAAAGCGTTGCAATTGCTCTGTTAAGATTTAGATATTGGCTAAAAGAGCTTTTACTTAAATGTGTTGGGGCTTATTTTTTAAGTCCCACATCCCATTTGCCTGCAGTCCTTCTGGCACCTGGAATGAGGCTCCCAAAAGTTTCTCGAAAATTTGGAACTCAAGCCCAAAAGATCTTCAGCCTCCTTCAGTAATGGCATTGCTTCATTCTGCTGAAACTTAATGACTAATTGTAAGCGCATAAACTGCAGGTTGTGTGTGTATTTGTGTGTGTGTGAGAGAGAGAGAGAAAGAGAGATGCATGCAATAAAATGACATGAAGGCTTCTTTTAAAATGTTGTTTCCCAACCTGAATATACCTTAAAATGGGCAGACTCACGAAACTGCTATAGGTAGTGGGTGGTTCCTATATTTAGTGATGGAAAAGGGCTCGGCTCGGCTCAGCTTGGCTGAGGTGGGGGCACCTACTCTTTGCTGGATGGATAGATGGATGGACCAACATATGGCTGGATGAATGAACAATATCAATGGATAGAAGTAGAAGCAGAAAATAATTCACAGCAACTATTTTTGTATGTGACTTTGCATCACCAGGACATTAATATCTATACAGATATTCAACGGCATTGGCACAAAGTGCAAATTGATGTCCTGACCTGCAAAAAAGCAAGAATAGCAGAAGGCTGAGCATGCTCATTGCCTCTCCTCACTGGAAAACAGGCTCAGGGCCCTGCTTTTTGCATTCTGCAGAGCCCAATGCATGGAGATGTCTAAGTGGTATAGTGGGAATACGCAGAGTTAATATATGTGGATTCCCGTGTCGCCGTATGGTAACATACCCACTGCAGCCGCTGGTGATAGCATTCTCTGAGTCACAACAGCAGAAATGTTCCTCTGCTTTCTATATATTTGACAGTCTACTTGTTTCCTTTACTGGAGGGCATCATCAATCCAGGTTTGTGGGGAACTGAGTAGGCATCAGCAAACCATTCCCTAATATCCTTATTGGATGTGCTGTCAGCACTCTAGGCAGAACCTGACAGTCTATCCACACTGGTCCAGAGTCCAAGGCATTGTGGGAAGTAGAAGAGCTGGGAAAAGCCATCTGCCAAACACTGCATGGAATACTGGGCCAGAAAAAGGTGGAGTAGCCCGGCTTCGACACTGCGCCCTGGCAATTCCCCAAGGGTACTTGGCTCTGTCCCTGTTTCATCTTTTTATGTAGGAAATCTGTTGTGCAATAGCTTTTGGAATTTCAGTGATTGGGGAGGTAAAGAAATTTCAGAAAAGGAGTCAGATTCACAACATGGGTCAATGGCCTGCTCTTGAATATATTGACATTTAAACTGGAGGAGGGAGCGGTGATTTTAAAACAATTATTGTTCAATTACTCCTGAAGAAGAATCCCATGAGATCTGCCCTTGTTCCCTCTAATCAACACATCATTTTATCTGAAGGATATTAATTGTGCGTGTTGACACACATGGCATTAAAAGATATGCTTGTGAACAAGACCGAGGAAGTCTGCTCTTCCTTATTAGGCCCCATACTGGGTTTGCTCGAGGAGATGAACAAAGCTAAGTTGATTGCAGGGCCTGGTCTTTGTCCCTTCTGGTAACATTTATTTCTGCTGCCAAGTAACTGCTTCAGGATAGGAAGATGTCTTGAAGCTTGGAGAGGCCTATGCCACTTCCTCAAATGAGTTCAAAGTGGCATTTTAGTTCTCCGACCTTAGAAAGTGACTTAATAATACAGATAAGCTTCTTGATGCAACATTCTTTAATATGTACTGATCTGCATGTTCTTCTGAACTAACTGCTTCCTGGAACTTAATGCAATGTCAACGTAAATGGATTTTCAATGCCCCTTTAACCGCTAGAAAACTAATATTACAACTCTGGAAGGACAAACAGCCACCTTCAATAATGCAATGAGTTGAGGACTTAAGGAAGCTTTCAATTTTTCAGTAGATGGACTATAAACATAAGCTACAAATAGACAATATATATGGATATTTGGTCTGCCTTTGTTGACATCCATGCATAATTATGCATAGAGATTATAAGAACTGTAGTTTATCTTGTTGCATATAAAAATATAGGGATACACATTGCCTATTAGAATAAATATATTCAAATTTTATGCTAGAAAGCTATAATAATTCATTTTTCTTTTATTGTTTTTAATAAGTTTTTTTTTTCTTTTTTTTGTTCTTTCAAAATTCTCAACAAAATAGGTGTGTGGGGGGGGGATGCGGATTGGATAGTGATTTCCCCAAGAAAACCTAATGCTACACATCTTACATCCAAACCCAATGCTCTAGAACAGCCTTCCCCATATGGTGCCCTCCATATGCGGGGAAGGGTGATAGGAATTGTAGTCCAATCTATCTGGAGACCACTAAGTTTCAGAAAGCCTGCTTTAGGCTGAAGATGGGCAGAAAGTAGATCCCCCAAAGTTTTGGGTTTCGGACCATAGGCTATATTGGCAGGGGCTTCTGGGAAATGAAGTCTCAAACACCATTGGAAGCAGGTTTCCCCTTCTTTCATACAACAGACAGATTCTTTGCAAAATAGCTCTTTATTTCCAATTTACCGCTAATGAACTATAGCCACTGAAAAATGAATCTCTATTGAAGCCAAACCAGAAACTACTTCTGAAAACCCCTTTCAGTAATCCTGGGTCCCATTCCATTGGGTGGGCCCCTCTGGAGAAGGGCTAGCCTCCTAAATCGTATATGCAGACCTTCAAATTGTGTAGCCCTTCTAACCTGACACCGTATCAAGGGCTCAAGGACTGAACTGGGAATTGGCTCATCTTCATCTTCTCCCTTGTCCCTCTCTTCACTTCCAAATTCTGAATGTTCCCATGACATGCCTGAGCATCTGGAGAAGGCAGTCTTGAGATAACCTCGCCCTTTGTCACCATCTCATTTCCCCATTTTCCCCATTTCGGAGCCACCATAATCATCATATGAAGAGTTGGTGCAACCCTGACCATGGAAAGCACACCAAGAAAAACTGCCTCTTCCATTCCAAGCAAATATCTTGAAATCTTTCTGCTCACCCCTATCCAAATCTTCCACCAATGACTCCTTGCCTTTCCC